AGGTAGGGGAGGTGGAGAGCCTTACGCAAGGACCAAGACAGGGTTCAAAATTGATTTTTGGCTGGCAGCCAGAGTGTATTCAAATACCAACCATAGTCGCAGCAATTGGCATTGCTCCCGAGGTCCTCTCAACTATGCTAATCTGTGGGATCAAACGACAGACATCGATTATTTTGCGGGGTACTTCGGCACGATCCCTCAATTCGCTGCAGACGACCTTTTCACGAGCGCCCCGCCAACAGAGCTCTCGTGAGCGAATCAGGTTGCTTTCAACCAGAGCCAAATCGTCGCCCTCAGTACCAAAGCATCCCTCTGATCCTCTCTCCAGCAGTCGTCCAGCCATGACTGCTCAGACGATCGACGGCACTGCCATTGCCAAAAGCATACGCGAAAAGCTCAACGCTTCCATCCGCCAGAAACAGCTGTCCAATCCTCGCTACAAGCCTTCTTTGGTTATCATTCAAGGTCTGTCTCTCCCGAGAACTCGATAAGAACAGTCTTAACATTAAGCAGTGGGAGCTCGGCAAGATTCTAGTGGGTAGGAGACGTAATTTCGCCATGCGTTCGCTGATTGTGCAGGTACCTATGTGCGCATGAAAGTAAAGGCTGCCGAAGAGGTTTGAATTTTCTCCAAGCTCAGAGAGATTAGCTAACAACTAGACCAGGCCAATATCGACTGCAAGATCGAGTCCTACCCTGAGTCCATTACCGAAGCCCAGCTCCTCCAGAAGATCCAGCATTTCAACAACGACACCACCGTCAACGGCATACTCGTGCAACTGCCGATACCGGGGCACATTTCAGCATACAACATAACATCTGCTGTGGCCCCTGCCAAAGATGTAGACGGCTTCGGGGTAGCCAGTATTGGAGAATTGGCGAAGAAGGGTGGCAATCCGCTCTTCATTCCATGCACACCAAAGGGTATCATGATACTACTGAATGAGACGGGCGTGAATCCTCGTGGTCTAAATGCTGTTGTGCTAGGAAGAAGCGATATCGTCGGCAGTCCCGTTGCTGATTTGCTCACGAAAGCTGATGCTACAGTCACCATCTGCCACTCCAAGACCAAGGACCTCCCAGGAGTGGTTCGAAATGCTGACATCCTCGTTGCGGCTATTGGACAACCACAATTCGTCAAGGGTGATTGGATTAAGCCAGGAGCTATCGTGATCGACGTTGGAACCAATTTCATCGAAGATGCTAGCAAGAAATCAGGTCAGCGCCTCGTGGGCGATGTTGACTATGAAGCCGCATCTCAAGTCGCGAGCCACATCACCCCAGTTCCCGGAGGAGTAGGGCCTATGACTGTTGCTATGCTGCTTCAAAATGTCGTAGCTTCTGCAGATGACTATTTTGAGCGCCAAAAGTTGAGGAAGGTCTCGCCTTTGCCCTTGAATATTCAGTCCCCAATTCCTGCAGACTGGCAGATCTCAAGGAGACAAACTCCGAAGCACATCACCAAGATTGCTGAAGAGGTCGGCATCGCTCCAAACGAACTTGAACCATACGGTCACACCAAAGGGAAGGTCTCATTGGATGTGATCAAGAGACTCGACCATCGGAGGAATGGACGATACGTGGTGGTTACAGGCATTACTCCTACACCTTTAGGTGAAGGGAAATCGACCACAACCATGGGTCTCTCACAAGCGCTTGGTGCTCACCTCGGTAAAATCTGCTTCGCCAATGTACGCCAGCCTAGCCAAGGCCCAACGTTTGGGATCAAAGGTGGTGCCGCTGGTGGTGGATACTCTCAAGTCATTCCCATGGACGAGTTCAACATGCATCTGACTGGAGATATTCATGCGATCACAGCAGCCAACAACCTACTCGCAGCAGCCCTGGAAACTCGCATGTTTCACGAGGCGACACAGAAGGACGGTCCCTTATACAAACGATTGGTTCCTGCTAAGGGTGGCAAGCGCGTCTTTGCTCCGATTTTCTTCCGACGTCTGAAGAAACTTGGGATCACAAAGACTGATCCCAATGAGTTAACTGAGGACGAAATCCGCCGATTTGCTAGACTCGACATCGACCCGGAAACTATCACCTGGAGGCGAGTACTAGATGTGAACGACCGCCATCTTCGTGGAATCACGGTGGGCTCAGCTCCAACAGAGAAGGGTCTTAGCAGAGAGACTGGGTTTGACATTTCGGTTGCCAGCGAGTGCATGGCTGTTCTCGCGCTTTCAAATTCGCTCAGTGACATGCGTGAACGGCTAGGCCGTATGGTCGTTGCCAGCTCAAGAAGTGGCGATCCAGTGACGGCTGATGACATTGGAGTTGGCGGCGCTTTGACAGCGTTGATGAAGGATGCCATCAAACCTAACCTCATGCAATCGCTAGAAGGCACGCCTGTTTTCGTGCATGCCGGGCCATTCGCCAATATCTCTGTGGGAAACTCAAGTATCCTTGCCGATCGATTGGCGTTGAAGCTTGCTGGAACAGAGCCTGATGAGGACCATAACGAGAAGGCCGGCTATGTGGTCACCGAAGCTGGGTTCGATTTCACCATGGGAGGAGAGCGATTCTTCAACATCAAGTGCCGCTCATCAGGTCTCCAGCCCGACTGTATCGTCATCGTAGCCACTGTTCGTGCACTCAAAGTGCATGGTGGCGGACCTGAGATTTCGCCCGGCGGTCAACTTCACGAGGTGTACAGGACCGAGAATGTGGAAATCTTGAGGAATGGCTGCGTTAACCTGAAGAAGCATATCGAAAACGCCAAATCCTTCGGAGTTCCAGTCATCGTCGCGATTAACAAGTTCAACACTGATACGGATGCAGAAATTCAGGTTGTCAAGGAGGAAGCTATTGCTGCTGGCGCACTGGATGCTATTCCTGCTGACCACTTCGCAAAGGGAGGTGCCGGTGCTATCGATCTAGCCCAGGGTGTCATCAAAGCCTCTGCATCGGCCAAAGCGGAGGATTACAAGCTCTTGTATGAGACAGAAGGAAACACACCATTGGAACGTATCGAGGCCATCGCAAAGAAGTTCTACGGTGCAGACAAGGTCGAGTTCTCAGAATTGGCACAAAAGAAGGTGAGCAGAATCGTATTCATTGCGTACAACGGCGCAAGCACTAATACCAAACTCACTAGGTTGACACCTACGTCAAGCAAGGCTTTGGAAACCTTCCTTTCTGCGTCGCGAAGACGCAATACAGTCTCAGTCATGATCCAGCACTTAAGGGAGCACCCACCGGCTTCACCGTTCCAGTCAGAGATGTCAGACTTGCAGCTGGGGCCGGGTACTTCTATGCTTTGGCAGCAGACATCCAGACGATTCCCGGACTGCCCACGGCGCCAGGATACCTTAACGTCGATGTCAATGCCGAGACCGGCGAGATCGATGGCTTGTTTTGATCCTTGACTTTCATTTCGCGACCTTAGATTTTTCAACAAGAATTACATACCCCGGCTTCATCAGTCAAGGTTCGGCGTTTTACGGGCATCGGTACACTTAACGTGTTGGGTGGTTGGCGATGGATATGGCTTTTGGATTTAGGAATCGTTGGATATCATAGATCCTCTCTACCAGAGAGATGGCCGGCAAGTTCAACAGCTTGCCACAAAAGCAGCAATCTACAGTGAGCTTCAAGCCTGTTTTTCTGCATGTTTTCGAGTTTTCATTTCGTGTTTAAGTTTCATTCGTCATGCATATACCGCCCACGAACAAGCCTTGAATGTCGTGTGCTTTTTCTTGCTGGTCCCGACTAATCTGATTCGAATCACGCTTTCATCAGGACTCAAAAATGGCGAATTGCAACTGAAAGCTGACAGTCTGAAGAATGTCTCCTAGCATCCCCACAACGCTTCAGCCATCTACTAGTACTCGAATCGCGATATGCAAAGACTGTTACTCTGGATAAGATCACGGCGCGGGCACTTGACAAGAAGAGTCATGTTTATCAACCCATTCCTGTGTTTTGGGTCAAGGAGATCGGAGATGCGATACTTGCGTGAGGCTCTACTGGATAGAAAGCTTCGGGCATGTGTAGACCTGAAATCAGGAGGCATTGTCGTCATTGCCGGTCTTTTGAAGAAGAAAAAATCGATGAAACCTCCATCTTCAAGTCGCTTCGTCATTCCACTGCCCTCTCATTATCGCCAAATTCGAAGGTATTATTAGCTTCTGGATATCTAAAATCGCCCCCTTTTGTCGTTCGTAATCCGCGAATCCCGTGAATTCTGTTATCCTAGGTGTAGTCGAACGCGAAATAGATACCTGGTCTCAAGTGACAAGTCTCCTCCTACGTCTCTTCGAATGGCTTAGACTCTAGGCGTTAAGCAGTGTATCAAAGTAGGTTTTGTGGCTCTATTCAACTATTGTCCAATTTCAGCCTTGCAACGCTAGAGGTGAGAAGTTGGAGCAAAGGGCCTATATAGAAGCCGAAAAGCGTACGGGGCAATCGTTCTTAGCAATGTCAATGGAAGATCTATTACCGCACCGTCCACGTATATCTGACCGTTGGAGGGAGAAATGATAACCACGCCCTCGTACGGGCCGAGGACTACAAATTCCCAAGTGTGCACACAGTAGTCCCAGCAATTCATGCCCGCCCAACATCAAGTTCATTCCAATATATCAATTTGATTAAGACATGATTGTGGATCAATTTCTGACAAACCCAATACTGAAAAAAGTCGGGAGATCTACAATATCAAAGTGGAGGCCAGGGACTTCTTTCCAGAAGCGGCGCTTGTCGTTATCCACGGGCTGGAGCGGGCGTGAATTATCGAGCTCAATTTATACAGTAGAAGAACTCACGATACCTACCCATAATCATCAACATCCCCGAGTCTGCCGTGCTGATTGTTTCTCCGCCGTTGGGTCCGCCAGGTAAGAAGTGAAAGTGCGCCCCCACTAGCAAAAGTTGCCAACCACAACAGTGGAAAAATAGCAGCCCTTGGGCAAAAACGACTAACATCAAAATGAGATTGAGACAAAGAGCAAAAAGAAATCGACAGCTGCATTGAATGCAGGCATTGAGCTAGCCCAATGCGGGGGTCGAACCCGCAACCTTGAGATCACGCTTTGCAGGTAAGAGTCTCACGCTCTACCGATTCTGAGAGGGTTAGTATGAGCGGCGTGGATGGGAAGCAGGCCGTCCAACTTACGAGCTAACCGGGCGTTTCATGTTATGGTTGATGTAAACCCTGGACAGACTAGTACATATAGGTCTGTACAACGAGCGGGTGGCGATATTGGACATACGTACCTAAGCTAGTTTGGCAGAGCGTGGACGATGAGCCCGAATATGAGTCCGAAGATGATGTGAGTCTAAGGACTACGGATATTGGTATCAATCACCTTCTAAGAGTAGCGGGCTTGCTTGTTGAAACTGCTCCCTCCCAGGGTGTCATGGGTACTGATCCTGAGCGGGTGCCGGTAGGCTCTATGTAGCGAGCCTGCCATCGACATTCCTGGAGGCTAAATAGGGGCCGCACGTATGGGAACGATGAAGCTGCTAAGGATGCGAGCACATAGTCTTTCAGCTGTGAGGATATCACGTTCTGATAATTTTATGAAGGTGGCAGACTTCAACCTTAGTCGCGTTTCTGGCGGCGATGACCTCAAGCTTAGTTTCTTGGCAGACGCGGATCCCCAGGCAGAACCACGTGCCAAAATTTAGGAATTACTACTGAGTATCCGCCACAAAAGCGATGCATTGAGCCAATCCGAGACGTATTTTCAAGCAGCAGCGGCACTGCAGGTTCACTAGTTCTGTGCCCTTCACTGCTCAGGCTACAACCAAACTAGTCTTGTCATTTTCAAATCAAGATCGATGTCGATAAATTCCTAGCGATCCACGAAGACGACATCTCCAGAAAATAATCGGTAATTGCTTTTATTGAATAGTCACTAATGCTTCTCAAAACATGTTGGTTTCTGGCGACCCGGGGACTCAGAATTACTGGTGCCGCTGGGGCTGTGTCACTGATTCTCTGCATTTTCACGATAGTTGAAAGCCGATCAACACGATCAATTTAAAATCACAATAGTGACAACATTCCGTCGACTTTTCTAAAATCGTTCCGCTGGAGATTGCATGACAGCTATCTGCACTTGAAGATTTGAAGAACTTGATAAATACAAATCCTAATCGATGTGAGCAAGTAAGAGCACAGCTTAGCTTCGCTTGGAGAGGGAAAGATAAAAGATGACCCGGATATAGTGGCTACACGTTATTGAGTGTGTTTGCGTCCGGTGAAGCGAACAACTGACTAATCAGCGCGAGTCTCATTTTAATAATAACACTCAGCGATAAATATTCTGAATTTTAACAATACCACTCTTTCTCTCGATTACACAAACGTAACAGCCACTATCCCAAAACAATGGCGGAAGAAGAGCAAGTCGACTCTACCATTCTCCCTGGCGGTGACTTCACAAGATCAAACAGATGGCCAAATGTACGTTACCTGACTTTACAAACACACTCCTTCATTCTTGAAGCTGACGATTGATTTTTAGGTTGCCGTTGGAATTTTTGGCGTTGCACAGGATGCTCTGCTACTCCGTTCGCAAGTAATGGCGGAAGATCAGGTCAGGGAGAGCCATAACAACAAAATTCGCTATGAGGCACTGCTGGATGAGAGTAAAGGTCTTCGCAATGAGGTGAGAGATCTAGTGGATGAAGTCAGCGAACTTCGGGCATCGCAAGGGAACATCCTAAAGCTGTAGGGAATACATTTACAAACCTCTTATTAGGATGATACTAACTTTGAAATAGACTCGGAGCTATTGCGGAAAAACAAGCTGTCAACACCGAGGAGCTCGACCTCGAGGATTTGACTCGGAGAACACAGGGACGCAAGCGCCGGTCATCTTCCCCCCGCATACGTCTCAGCTCCAGCCTGACCAGCTCAAAGACTTCTCCGATGGCCCCAAGAACACCACTGGGCGCTCTTACAGAAGAAGGCATCGTGGACAACTCGGAAAAAACCCCGTCGCCATCTCCAAGCGGAAAGGACAAGAAAGCAGCATATGAACGACTCGCAGCCTGAAAGGAGGATTCAGGGAGGACTAGAATTAAGGGATTGCAGATAATAAAAGAGGGAGTGACAGGAGGCCCGATGGGCACAAATCCGAATGGATGTAGGCCAGTAGGAACACAGCCTAGCTCCGCTTGGAGACGAATAGACGAGAAGAAAAGCGAATAATTCAAGTGTCTACACATTATTGAATATGTTTGCGCCCAGCAGGGCGGATGACTCGCCATCTGAAAAGTCTCGTCGTTGATAAGTCGTTTGTACAGATGATTCCAAGCTTCCATGAGTACTGTACTACAAAATCGGAAGCTCTCAAGATTTATGCGACCGCCATCTCTTCGATTACCTTTCAAAAAGGTGACTTTTGTCTACCAGCCTCTGTGTGATATGTCTGCTTTGGCTGCTTTCCCTTTGGCGCCGGGGTGATTTGTCGCTGAATGAATTAGTCTCTTTGTACTTGAAGGTTGTGTATTCCTACCCACAAGTCCACTGGCCGTATATGTCTATTTCGAGGCTCCTTTAATTGGCCGAACTGCCTTAACCTCATCGAATCATTTAACAGACTGCGAACATTGCCTTAATCGAATTGACAGCTACTACAAGTCCACTACAGGAACCGCGAAGCTCTCAACAACCCTTTCCATATTTTTCCTCTTCTCTACAACTATCCTGGCTCGACGAGTTACGCCTGTGGACGATTGTACCAGAGGCTCCTCCAAATCGTCCACACCGATCTCTGCTAATGTAAGTGTTCAGAAAGGTTGGAACTGTATATGAATTGGTGTTATGCGTCAAATGCCAGAGCGAGGAGCAGCAAGGCGAGTATCCCCTGTTACATTATGGCTAGATGTCAGAGCGGCAATTGCGATGCCTGCGTACCGTAGAGGATCCGGGCACCATCTTGAATGTTTAGCGTCGCGGCTGGAAGCTGAAATGGAGAGAAGGACAGGATTCACTCATGATACATTACTTTTCTCATGACTTCGTAGAGCATTCTTCGTACACCACCATTATACAGCTCTCAAGGCTTCGCATTGAGATCACAATATTCCTATCCCAATGGACAACAACGCAACGCTGCCGATCCAGATATTCGGACGATTTGACTCGCTGCCGCTCGTTGTGACCTGCGCTGGTCCCGATGTAACTGGGCTAGGCATTGACGAGACTTGCGAGCTTGGCCCGACGCTGCCGCTCGATGCTCCGCCCATGCCACACATGATATATCCTGCCATTCCAGTCTCCGAGCAAGTAGATTCTGTCGCCGACGGCTGAGATCCCGCTACAGTAGACGATAGCACGATTACAGGTTGCCCTCTGCTGTTCGTCGTGGGCATGACCACAGTGCTAACTGTTCCGCTCACGTATGTAAAGGGCTGTGTGCTGGTAAAAGAGCTTGCAATGCTGGTAAGGAAGATGGTGGTTGAGGATTGGGTGACAGCTGGAGGCGCACTGCCACTTTTACTTGATTCGATTGTTGCAATGGTGGGTTTGGCCGGAGCTGATTGCTCTGTTTTCGACGTTCTCGAAGGAACCGAGTTATCGGCATTGGTTGTAATCGTTGATCTGGTAGACTGCTGTGGCACTCTGGTGCCAGGATTTGTCGTCGTAGGAGTGTTTGCCTCGATTGCTGTTGGCGAAGGTGAGTTTGTCTTACTGGACTTCACTTCCGACAATTTAGTTGGCTTTGTGTCCGATGTCGTCGTCGTTGGTCCGGTATCTTCTTTAGAGGTCGACGTGACTGTGAGGTAAGCTACTGTTTGTACGGCAGAAGCTGCGCATACAGCGGCGGGTGTGGTGCAATATTGATAGATCGGAAAGGTGGGATAGACAGTCTTATAATCAAGTAAGCTCCATCCCAGGCCTCTTTGGCAGTCCAGTCCTGCGCCCGTGGTCGCGGACTGCGAGTCTCTGAAACTCCACACGTAGAATGATAAAGGATCGTAAGGATCAAGTGTAGCCGTGGATATTGTCACGGTCTTGCTGCGAGTATATGTGAAGAACTCCTCTGATGGAGTTGTGTATACGGGAGGGATCAGAGACGGGTAACGAGAAAAGGTTGCGTTGCCAGCAGTAGAACAGGAGCTGGCAGCTGGAATCTTGCCCTCCCATGAGACGCCTTCTTGGTACGAAATATAGCCAGTAGGCCATGCGAGAACGGTCGTGGTAGTCTTTGAGTTCCAGACCAGGGTTTTGGTTGTGACAATGGTTCCAGCAGCATTAGTCGGCGGTAGCGTGACACCAGGAGGCAGATTGAATATGGTGGTAGTTCGTGTCGTGTTCAGGCGGGTGTTCTCAATAACAAGAACAGTCGCGGCCTCGATACTGGCGGTGACGCTGTGGGATACCCACCAACCACCATCGTAGAGATCCCACGATCGTGTACAGTTCCCGCAACTGTTTGCCTTTGTTTGAACCGCCGGCTTGGTTGTTGATTGAGCGGCGGCAAGGGTGCTCAACAAAACAACGGCTGAAGTGGGTAGCATCAGCATGGGGAAAGCGGCAACAAATTTATTGAGAGGCAGAAAGATGAGACTGGAAGGGACGTCAAGTGAGGACGATTTCGAATTCACTGCGGCTCAATACTGAAGATCGTCGAGGTTGAGGCCGCAAAGAGCGGACAGGCCCATCACTTGAGGCCCCAGAGCGATCCTCTAGAATGAAAACCTGGTCGAAGACGGGACGCCTCTGTGGATGGCTGAATGCATGACACCAGATAAAAGGGGCCGTCACACGAGCCAATGGGATGGGGGCGTTCTAAGATAGCCGCCTGTCACAACGTTTAGCTTGTTAGCTATTTTAGGATGCTGACAACTCTCAGCCACCGTCTCGTTCTACTCCGTAATGCCCATCGTGCTGTCGGCTGTGGATGTCGCTTGACAGCAGGCTTTTCCACGGCCAAAGAAGACGTAGCTGCGAGATCTGTGAGCAGAGTTCTTGAGATTTGAGGAGGACAACATGGAGAAGCCGGGCACGGTGACCGGTAATAATGGTGGTCTTCTCGTTGACCTCGTATGTTCGGACTCTTGGTAGACAGGCAAATCGGAGCGCATGTTGATGGTAGCGTGGATTACTTTGCAGATGTCCCTTAGCTGA